AGTATATTTGAGTTTTCAAAGTAAGTCAAATTACAGTTGTTTTCATTTGACTACGTTGTGGAAACTTACGGATGTTACTGTAAAATGCATATGCATTATACTTTCTTAACACTTTTGAATTTTAATAAAGAATTCATCAATGTATCCTTAGACAAGCTACTGTTTCCTTCCTGGTGTGAAACCATAAAGATAAAAGACACACTTGCATGTGGAACTCAAAACGCTCGTGCATCTAAGGGAAAATAGAATCTGGCTGGGCTCCTTCCACTGGACTGTCAGGTGACTGTTTATTAGTTTTTCACCTCTTATAAAATATTTCCTTAAGGTGACATGGCTTGACAATTGAGCTGTGCCATGTATGCAGAAGCCAATGATTGCAACTGTTTACTTTTATAGCAAAAAAGCTCTGGTCGCATATTGTATTTAAATTAAAATTTAAAAGCATTTCAACAACTGTTACAAAACAATTTCACAAAGCAGCATAGCTTTTATAACAAAAAATTATTGGAAATTTGAGAGAGTTTTTGGTTAAGGGAACCTTGTCTGCCTGTTATTCTTTGGGTAGTCATTTTGTATTATTACTTTGTTACTTACTGCTACGAGGTGAATGAAAGCAATCCAAATTGTTGCTGCTAGAATCTTATACATGACTTTATGTTTGATTAGAAGTTCCCATTGTTTACCTTTAAAAAAAAAAAACTAGTTCCTTCACTGTGTCATCCGTCTAGCATGAAATGTCAGTAGATTTTTCATAACCCACTGGGTAGTGGCAGTTGCTATCATTAATACCTATCCCCTTGGTAAACTTGGCATTTCTAGGTTTTCTGTGTAACGGGGTGAGCTACCGAGACATGTTTCCCGAAGGTCTAGCTGTGCTGTGGTTTATTCTACCACCACCTCGTTACCAGGTCGCAGCTGGGAGTGCTGCTTTGCAAGCTAAGGCCGCCTGAAAGCAAGTAAAAGAGCAGGGATGTAGGGGTTTTGAACAACCGCCCAGCGGCTGTCCTTCCTTTACACACGTCAAGCCTAGCTCACCGTGGAAGAGAGGGATAGGAATAAACACAACCGCAAACGAATGACCACCTTAGAATCTGACGTTGGGGACTTACGCTCGGGCTGGCACTGGGGACAACTTCCGTGGCTCTGATCTTGGGCTCCGTGGCGGACCCTAGGCTCTCCTCTACTCCCCACACACACTCCGTATTTAGGAACAGATTCCCACCGTCAGCAAACAGTGTCATCTCCCCCTTGCAGCGGAACACGCCTCGCGGGCCTGGTAGCCTCTCGGCCCAGAGGTGGTGGCAGCAGGTGGCAGGCGGCCCTGGCCTCACGCCACACACCCCGCCCCGCCCCGCCCTTCTAGGCCCCGCCCCGGCAGCCCCAGGCCCCGCCCTTCTAGGCCCCGCCCCGGCAGCCCCAGACCCCGCCCCAGCAGACCTAGGCCCCGCCCCGGCCCCTGGACCGCGCCCCCTCACCAGGCAGCACTCTCACGCTCACACGGAAGTCCCGCCTACGTCCTCGGGGAGCCCGTGAAGAGCGGCGCGTGGTTGGCCAGCTCTCGTGCCAGTCTCCGAGGCAGTGGCGTGCCTGACTTCCGGCCGCGTCCCGGTCCGGCGGCCAGGGCTCCCTGGCCATGCGGATCCGCTGCGTATGGGCGGCTGCCCGGCGTATGTGCGGCTTCCCGGCCCTGGTCCCTCCTCGCCGGCTGGTCAGCGGCCGGGCCGCGGCGGTGGAGGAGCTGTTCGCCCCGGACGGGCCCCTGCGGTCCTTCCTGGAGCGCCAGGCCGGAGCTGGCTCCCCGGGGCTGGGTAGTAGGCCCCAGGTGGCGGCGGTCGCCCGGCTGCTAAGCGCCAAGGAGCGGGAGCTGCGGGAGACCGAGGCCCTGCTGCGCGGTGAGGGGCTTGGGTCTGGGGGGTAAGGGCTAAAGTGGGGAGTGTGGGGTGAGCCGTCGGAACCGTTTGGTAAGGGTGGCAATTGCAAACGGGACCGAGCCACAGAGTTTTGTGAGCCGGGAAGGTCGCTCTCAGGCAGGGCAGGTGTCAGCCCGGGATGGGGACATTGAAGGGAGAAGGCAGGGCACTTCATTAAGGGGCGTGTAAGTTACACGCTGGATCAGAACAGGTGCACGCCTGGAGAAGTTCTGGGGAGGGGTGGGGGAAATTGCATTTGTGGTGTAGCTTAAGCCGGCACGCATGCCAGATGGATTTAAGGGTTAAGGTGTGGGAAAATTGTTGCCAACAATATGCAACTCCATTCAAAAGCAATGGACAGTGTCACTCAGCAAATCTTGGGTTCTTAACTGCGTCTCATACCATAATAATTATCAAAAGTATGTGTGCATACACACATACTATTGTATATGTATTATGAGAAGTATAAATGTATACACACATATATGTGGCATAAATTATAAGGTATATGTGTGTGTATATATATATATGTATATGTGTATATAGAACTGCTTGTCAGAAGTTGCAGCCTGGTGAGAAGTTTTTAAGAAGTTCTATAAACGTATAAGTGAATGAATTTACTTAAGTGTGTTCCATAAAGTGCATAGTGTTGGCAGCAAAAACTGGCATTGAAGTGGGCCTGGAAAGGGAGGCAGGGGATTGCCAGGAGGTTCCGAAGCCGTTGACAGAGGCCGGAGAAAAGGAAGCCAGCTGTGCAGGAGCACCAAACAGCTGTGGGAGCTGATGGGGTCGCGGAAAGCCTCGGGCCTAACAAGACCAAGAATTTGCGTTTATTGTTATAGGTAGTGGGAAGTGGGCATGCTTGGAACAGAGAAGTGACATCCTTTTTGAAGAAAACTTCCTGTGGGGGTGATTGCTGAGGATGAATTGGGGTGCTCTCCGGAGCGCCTGCTGGCCGAGAGGCCAGTGCAGAGAGTGTGGGTCCCCACGGAGGAGAGGGAGCAGTAAGCGGAGACCTGAGGAACAGCACGTGGGATGTATGTGTCCTGGGACGGATGAAGGGTCTGAAGTCCAGGAGAGCCCCGAGGCTTCTGGCTCCCACACATGAACGACAGAGATGGTGACATTTACCATGAAGAGGAGCTCTACGCATCTTAGTGGCAGTGGAGAGGAGGTGTCGCCGGTCAGACGTGCAGCTGTTGGTCCACAGCCTCGAGGTGACTGGTCAGGACATGGTCACCCAGATCAAGGCATCTGTGGCCTCCCTGGAGGGCATCGCCCTGGAGGACCAGGTGCTCATGGCATGCCCTTGGGGGTGAGGCCGTCCTGACCCCATGTGGGTGCAGGCACTGAGCGTGCTGGGGAGTGGTTCTGGGGTCTCTGGCCCCCGTTGGCGAAGGCACAAGGTCAACTCCCAAGGTGGCCAGGCAGAAGACGGGCCATGCCAGGTGCAGATGCAGTACAGCGGACTCTTTGTCAACATGGTACCCACCTTTGGTGAGAACGGCCCCAATGCCAGCTCCTAGGGACCCCTACAGCTCTGGCACCTGCTATAAAGCCACCTCACTCAGAAAAAGGGGAGGGGAAGGGAGGAGCTTTGTGTTGAACAGCTGAATTAAAAGTCCATGTCAGAGTGGTGTTCTGATGAAGATCTCTATACTTGTCTAGGAAGAAAACCCCACTGACATTGGAGATAAGTTAAGTCATGACAGCACGAATACCTGCTAAGTGAAACCCTCGGAAATAGATGAGAAGACTTGCGGAATATTGCTAGATCCAGCCAGACATGACTGGCAAGGCTGAAAGGCTTGAGGGATAGCAGAGGAGAGAGCTGTGAGCTCAGGCAACGGTGGGCGGCTTCAAGTGGCAAGCCAAGCCGATGAGTGCCGCCGCGGAGGGCATTGAGCAGTGGGCACTGAGCCCTTGGGAGCCCCTGGCTCTGCAGAAGCGGAGAGGGCATCTTTTCAGCACCCAGTGAAAGAGGTGCTTGGCTTCAGCAGCGTTGTCAACAACTGTTTCAATAATAAAAGCATTCTAATAGATCATGAAATTCAGTTACAAGTTCAGAATTTTACAGTTAATAGAAATGATAAAGAAGGTATTTTATCTCTGTAAATTTGGGTGGGAGAAAGGATGGCAACAGTTACATCAAGGAGTGGAAAGGCTTTTTTGAATAGAGAAACCATAAATATTTGGAGGAAGAAGGTATGAGGACAGAATAGGCAGGGAGTGGGTGGGTAGTCCTCATGTTGGTAGACAGTCTGTAAGGAAACAAAGATAGAATGGCATCGCTGCCCGTGACTCGCCACGCCGGGGCTGCCCAAGGCTCGCCACATTGGAGCTGCCCGAGGCTCACCACGCCGGAGCTGCCCGTGACTCGCCACGCCGGAGCTCCCGAGCTGGGCTGCCAGTCGCCACCAGCCTTTACTCACAGACATGAAACTAGGTGTTTCCGAGTCTGATGCTGGGACTGATACAGCCTTTCTGTATTTCTGTATGCACATTGCCTTAGGTAGAGAAATGAAGAAGTGTATTTTGTAAGTTTACACTGAGAATTCAAAACAAAGCAGTCGTAGGGGTAAAGCCGTGGTCGGGGTGGGTATACTTTATAACAATATTGTGTAACCAGTATATGAAATCTAATATTTTAGGTAAATACCCACTTAACACTAAGGGCTTGCTGAAACAATGAAAACATTATAAATTATAAAGAAGTTTAACCAGGTTCTTTAAATTTTCCTGCAGATTTGCTTTAGTTTCACTCATACATTCTAAGTGCTTGTGGAAACTAATGTATACAGTGCTAATTTTAATGAATGGCTATTAAAGGCAGTTTAATTCCCCAGTAGTGACACCGGCAGTACAGCTGTTCCTCTGAAATCCTGGCAGTTCATGGAAGCATTGATTGTTGCCTTTTCCCCTCAGATGAGAATGAAGACTTAAGGAAACTTGCCGAGAATGAGATAACTTTGTGTCAAAAAGAAATACTGCAGCTCAAGCAGCAGGTACGGTACCTGCAGACAGAGCCTCCTCCCGCGGCCTTCGCTGTGTGAAAGCCGGCCCAGAAGCAACTAGATCAGCACTGTTTAGAGTAAACTTTTTTTCCAGCTTTATTAAAATAGAACTGACATAAATTGTAACTTTTTTTTAAGATTTAGTTACTTTTTTATTTGCAAGGCAGACTTACAGAGAGAAGGTGAAGTAGTTCTTCCATCTGCTGGTTTACTGCCCAAATTTCATCTGACACCATAAGATGGAACTGTTAGCCGTGGGTTAGCAGCACTTCCCAGAGTTAAGAATTGAAATGGATCACTTCTCGGCCTTTTGGCCAAGATCAAGTACAGAGCTGAAATGGACTGCTCAGCGGGATATCCTGCTTATACTGACAAACTGGTATGTGTTGGTAGCTGGAACTGGTGGACCTAATCGCAAGTTTTTATCCCAGAGTCCCTTAATGGTACATGCTTGTTTTGTAAGATCTATTTTGCTTTTCTTTGCAAGGCAGAGCTATAGAGAGGAGGGTAAAGACGAGACAGGATTTCTCTTACATCCATGGTTCACTCTGAGTTACTGCAACAGCCAGATCTAAGCTGACTCAAAGCCAAAAACCTGGACCTGGAATGTCCTCCCAGTCTCACATGTGGGACCAGGGGCCCAAGGCTTGGAGCCATCCTCTGCTGCTTTCCCAGGCCACAGGCAGGGAGCTGAAAGGACAAGTGGAGCAGCCGGGGCACAAGCCGGCACCCATCTGGGATCCTGATACCACAGACAGAAGCTTAGCCCAGCGTGCCATGTTGCCGGCCCCTAATAGTGTGTGCTTGAGTGTGACGTGTGGTGTCGTGATGGGAAGAACACTGGCCTGGGGCATTGTGACGCCAGCCCTTCCAGTAACAGCTTAGCAAGCCGTTCAAGCTCTCAACTGGAATTAACTTTACATGTGAAGTGAGAGAATTGGACCAGATCATCCATACGGTCCTTTCAGGTTCCCAAACCAACATTTTCTTCTGTTTAATCAAGCTTATCAAATACAATGGAATTTGAGGCTTTCCTGTTTTCGCCATGCTGGGCCTTAAACTTGGGGAGGAGAGAGTTGAGTCTTCTGTGCTCTGTACACAAATATACTAGTATCCGCAAGCACTTCGTGCTTACTAACTGGACAGTGAGCTGCTAGCAAACACACAGTGATTGCAAGGAAAAAGAAAAACAAGCCTGTAAATTTTAGCTGAATATTACTTCCTTTATAATGTAGTGTAAGATTAACAGTTTCTTGAAGACATATAGCATACGGTTCTAATTGGCAAGCAGGTGAACAGCTGTCGGCAAGGTTATTTGCTTAGAAAACTTTGAGAGTTCTGTATGGAATCACTTAGCTTCTTTTTGGAAAGTTCTCAGTCACAGAGAAGGGATGTGTTTCTCTTTACAGATCATTGTGCTTTTGGTTCCCTCCGAAGAAGCAGATGAAAATGACTTGATCCTGGAAGTAACTGCAGGAGTTGGGGGTCAGGAAGCAATGTTGTTTACTTCAGAGATGTTTGATATGTATCAGAAGTACGCGGCGTTTAAAAGATGGCATTTTGAAACCCTCGACTATTTCCCAAGTGAAATAGGTCAGTAAACTGTTCGCTTTGCTTTGATAAAGTGTGGACCATTTTTACCCGTGTCCTAGGAAAGGAACATGTAAGATCATGGGTAGGCTTTATTTACGGCCGGACTTGTAAGGATGCTTAAGGATTTTTATGCCCATCATTTACTTAATAGTTTTAAGTGTCCCAAATATGTCAATTGTGAAACAGCTTTTAATGGTGATGGATAGTCCGATGCTGTGGCTTCAGCCTGCCTCACTGCATCCCATATGGGCACTGGTTCGAGACCTGGCTGCTGTCGTTCCCATCCGGCTCCCTACTTGTGGCCTGGGAGAGCAGTGGAGGATGGCTTTTGTCCTTGGGCACCTATACCATGTGGGAGAGCCGAGGGAGGCTCCTGGCTCCCAGCATCAGATCTGCCCAGCTTTGGCGTCGTGGGCATTTGGGGAGTGAACCTTGCCTGTTTCCTGTGTAACTCTAACTTTCAAATGAAAATTAATAAAATGTAAGCCAAGAAAATGTAACATAGTAATTTAGCAGGCTAATCACATGACTGATGGTCTTTAAAAGTGATCTGTTAGATGTTACTAGTGTCATTTCATTAGCAGAATAACTTTTAGTTTAAGTCATTGCAAGTTAATAAAAACACTGAATGTCATAGCACTATTGAAGTTTTTAAGTATTATTTTAGGATTTTTAGAAAATACTTGGAAGATAGTAGATATGGTGGTCAGATGTTTATAAATTGGAAGGACAGTGAAAGGATTCAATTCTGGTATTTTCCAGGAGGCCTTAGACACGCGTCCGCCAGCATCGGAGGCCCAGAGGCCTACAGGCACCTGAAGTACGAAGGAGGGGTTCACCGAGTACAGAGGGTTCCCAAGACAGAGAGGCAGGGCCGCATCCACACCAGCACGATGACCGTGGCCATTCTGCCCCAGCCCACCGAGGTGAGGCACGGCCCGCCTTACGACTGCACTCTGACCTACAGTGACACTCAGAGGTCACTAAATCGAGTATCTCATTTTGTACTTGGTCTTCCTCACAGATTCTGAACTGCCTTTGAGAACCTGCCCTGTTCTAAAAGTACAAGTTTATAATAGATGGCAATAATGGAGGGTTTAAAACTAACCCAGTTTTGCATTATCTGTGTACTAGTTTTTCTGTACCACTAACATAGACATTGTAAGACCATCTGGTGAAATATTAACCCATTTCAATAAGGACTGGTTTATTTTATGGGGACTTGGCTTGATGTGACAGGTTCGCCATCTATTAAAGCCAAAACTGTTTGAACAACTGTAAAGCAGCTGCTGCTTCATAACTCAGTCACGTTAGAATGCATACGTACTTTTATGGCATTCCTGTGTTACTTATTCTCAGAAAGCAGGTTTGATCTACATTTATATCGTAACTTTGTTTGGAAGTTCTCTTGGGGCTGCCATGGGGGTTAGGCTGCCACTTGTCACTTGCCAGCATCACATGTGAGTTACTCTGCTTTGAAGCCAACTCCCTGCTGTTGCACCTGCGCAGGCAGGGAACTAGGCCCCGTCACTTGACTCCTGTCACCCACGGGACACTGGTGGAGCTGCTGGATCCTGGTTCTGGCCTGGCCTAAACCTGGCTGATGTGCTCATCTGTGAAGTGTGTAGCAGATGGAAGATTTCTCTCTCCCTGCATGTTCCTGTCTGTTGCTGAACTTTCAGATAAACAAATAAGTCTGAAAAGTTTTGTTTTGCTTAGTTTGCCCTCTGAAAAATGATAGGAAATCCTTCTTGGTTTCCATAGTGAAGTATGACTGATTTGAGGAGTTTCTATTAAGTTTTGGGAGACAGTACTGTTTGACTGTATAATTGAGTTAATGGAGGCCTTTTCTGTAATTTTCCTTTGAAGCCAAACCAGTTACATGAGAGAGTGAAGTGGAATAAACAGCAGAAGCCATCCTAGTTACGGGCACTTGGTTTAGGCATCGTTGGAGATCGGAGTTTTTAGTAAAAGATGGGAGACTGAATCCTTGCATCATTTAATTCTTCAGATGGCTGCAGGAGGATGTCATGTGACAAGTCAAGAAAGGCCGAGGGAATGGTGACTTTTACTCCCAGGCTAGTAGAGGGGTCAGAGTGGTCCATGGTTGTTCATGAAACCCTTTTTATACCTAATACTTGTTAGAATCTTACTTGTGTTTGTTTTGTTTGCAAGTAGAGACACGGACAGGTGCCCTGTGTTTCACTCCTCAGACACCTGCACACTGAGGCTCTAGTGTGCATTGCCAGTGTGCCAGTGTCTGACCTGCTTGGGCAGATGTCTGTTCCTAAGTCTACTGCTTCCGGGGGGGATTGCCAGGGGAGAGTGTCATCTTAAAGTTGGGGCCCAGCCCAGTGTATTCACAAATCAAGTTTGTACCTTTGACCTCTTGCCTTTGTGTCTCCATTTGCTTAATTCTACCTCTGATCATGGTAGAAATTTAACAGCATAAACCCATCTTCTAGTTATGCCAACATAGCTTTCTTTTTTGTTCTTAAAATTAAGCCATCTAGATCCTACATGAATTCTGACAAAGAATTATAATTTATAATTAAATTAGTTCTTGCCTTTATAAAGTTGGTATATGTAATTTTTAAAAATCTCAGCTTTTCTTGTTACGTATAGATTAACCTGGTCATCAATCCTAAAGATTTAAGAATCGATACAAAGCGAGCCAGCGGCGCTGGGGGCCAGCACGTGAATACCACCGACAGTGCCGTGCGAATAGTTCATCTTCCTACAGGTGGGCCCCACTGTGGTTCCACTTGAGACACTGAAGGGAAATTTGTGAATGACTTGAATGGTGTTCCAGGGAGATTGCTCCTTTATACCACACTGTTATGATTTATTGTGAAGCACTTGGTCTAAAGTTTGGATTTTTTTTTAAGATTTTATTTTTACTGAAAAGGCAGATCATATATACAGAGAGGAGAAGATCTTCTGTCTGTTAGTTCAATCCCCAAATGGCCGCAGTGGCCGGAGCTGAGCCAATCCAAATCCTGGAGCCAGGAGCTTCTTCCAGGTCTCTTATGTGGGTACAGGGTCCCAAGGCTTTGAGCCATCCTCGACTGCTTTCCCGGGCCACAGGCAGAGAGCTGGATCGGAAGTAGAGCAGCCAGAACATGAACTGGCACTCATATGGTATCCTGGTTCTTGGAAAGTTATTTAGTTATTGAGCCATTGCTCTGGGCTCAAAGTTTGGAATTCTTACTGGTTTTCCCTTGGCAATTGCAAAGCCAGGAAGAGGGAAGGATGCAAGCCCAAGGAAATTTCCCAGAGTGACCTTAAGAGAAGGTGTGGAGTTAGTCCTTGAAGGCAACCTGTTAGTAAGCAGTGCAGTTGTCTTGTTTTTAGTCAAGAATGCACACTGGCTCTTAGCTTTTTGGGAGAAAAGGAAAACATGGACTATTTAGGAAAAAAGGAAAGGGAAAGAATTAGCCTTTTTATTTTTATTTTTATTTTTATTTTTATTTTTATTTTTATTTTTATTTTTATTTTTATTTTTACTTTTTAAGAATTTGCTCTCTGGGCCTGGTGCAATCCTTACCTTGCATGCACCAGGATCCCATATGGACACCAATTTGTATGCCAGCTGCTCCACTTCCAATCTAGCTTCCTGCCTGTGGCCTAGGAAAGCAGTTGAGGATAGCCCAAAGTCTTGGGACCCTGCACCCAAGTGGGAGACCCACAAGAGGTTCCTGGCTCCTGGCCTCAGATCGACTCAGCTCTGTCCATTGTGGTTGCGTGGGGAGTGAATCAGTGAATGAAGAATCTTCTGGCTGCCAGCTTCAGACTGGCTTGGCTCTGGCAGTTGCAGCCATTAGGGGAGTGAACTAGTGGCTGGAAGCACTCTCTGTCTTTAATTCTTGAGTAAAATAAATTTTTAAAAATCAAATAATGAAATAGCACATTCATGGCAGTCCTTGGTTGTCAGAAAGAACACAGGATCTTTGGCTGTCACCAGCTTAAGTAGGTCTAATCGCTATTAACTATCAGTGGTGGGAGTGGCGATTGACATGGTTTTTGTTGTCTTAAATATGGAAACATGGGGTCCCTTCCAAGGTATATCTTGTTAAGTCTGTACTGTGCTGGTGCATCGCATATGGATGCTGGCTTGAGTGCTCGCTGTTCCACTTGCGATGAGCCTCGCTGTCGGTGTGCCTGGGAAGGCAGTGGGAAATGGCCTGAGTCCGTGGGGCTCTGCGCCCACGTGCGAGGTCTAGAGGAAGCTCTTGCTCCTGACTTCAGCTCTGTGGCCATTTGGTTTGTGAGCCAGAAGATGGAAGATCTCTCTCCTAATCTCTCTGTAAATCTGCCTTTGAAATAAAAATGAGTAAATATATGGTTTTATAGTTTGGAAAAATTATATTTTTTTAGTTTTAGGGTGTTTACATGATAGAATTTTAAACAAGAATGGAGGAAAAATGGAAATCTTAAGGATTTTTAAGTTTTCTGTACCTTAGTTTCTACATATAGTTATTCAATTTATTCTTTAGTGTGTATGCCTTCAGTGTGCAAAACCGTGCTATAGCTTAAACTCCAGTTTTCAATAAACTGTAAGTTGCTATTTATAGTGTTCCTTTTAGGTTAGCGTTTTCTTTTTCTTTCTTCATAAAGGAAGAAGAAAAAGGATGAGATGGAAAAGAAGTATTCCTTAATAAAGAAAGAAGATTTTCCTATTAAAATTCTTTAATTCTCAACAATATTCAGGTATTGTTTCTGAATGCCAGCAAGAGAGATCTCAACTGAAAAACAGAGAGATGGCCATGAAAAAGTTGCGTGCGAAGCTCTACAGTGCGCGTCTAGAAGAAGAGACGAGTAAACGCTACAGCGCCCGCAAGATCCAGGTACGAGTGCTGCCCCCGACAGGCCCCAGCCTCTGGGTCGGCCGTGGCCCTGCGCACTGCCGGGGGTGACTGCCTCTTAAAGAAAGAAAGGATATTAATTTTTAAAATGCTTGTAGGGTTAAAAATATTGTTAGATAATTCAATTGTTGTGTGTTGGAATAATGAAACAAGAAAAGTAGCTCAACCAAGAGTATTGCTTGTCTTACAGGTCTGACCTATTTTCTATATTCAGAGAGTCTTTTTTTTTCCCCCCATATTTTACTGCAGTTACTACAAAAGATGTTCTCATTCCCCCATTCAGTTTTAATATTTTCAAATTCTGTGAGACTTTCCTCCTGGTTTCTGCTGAACTAACTGTAGAGCCCTTTAGGAATTCTTCATTAAGGAAAATTCACTACCTTGTCACCACTCATTGACGATAGTATTTCGCAGCACTGAAGGGTACATTTCAGCTGCTTGCCGGGCACTGCGCATGTACCCTCACTCTAATATTATCTGTATCTTACAGATGGGGAGAGTTTACAGTAGAGCAAGTTGGCAAAAGACAGAATTCATATGTAAATCTGATTTAAAGGCCCATATTTTTTTCTGTATCATGTTGTCATATTGTTGGAGGACTCAGAATGTTTAAAACATGATTCTAGCGTAAAGACTTGCGCTGTAAGTGAAGGCTTTAATTTTTAAATTAGTTAACCTTACAAGTTTGTTACCTTGATTCTAACTGCATCTCCCGTCTGTTTTTGTCTGAATAGGTTGGAACTAAAGGAAGATCAGAGAAAATAAGAACATACAATTTTCCACAAAATCGAGTCACAGATCATAGAATAAACAAATCAATACATGATCTTGAAACTTTCATGCAAGGAGATGATCAACTGGATGAACTGATACAGTCATTGAAAGACTATGCCGATTATGAATCTTTATTAGAAATAATTTCCAAAAAAGCTTAAGTTGATTTGTTATTAATGCACCTAGGAAAGTGGCAGCAGATGGTCCGAGGGGTTGGACACCTGCTGCCCGAGTTGGAGACCCCGCTGGAGCTCTGAGTTCCTGGCTTCGGCCTGCCCAGCCTGGCCAGTGCAGCTGCTTGGAAGGTAAAGCACCAGGTGGGAAGAGCTGTGTCTCTCAACTGCCTTTCAAATAAACCTTAGCAGCAATAGAAAACTTCCAAGAAAGTTCAAGCTAAAACATCAGAAATACAACAATGACTACTCATTATTTAGGGTCCTGCCAGGAGATACCATTAATTTGACTGATATTAGTTGTTAAGAGGATGTTAAAGAGAACTTAAATCACCCGGATCGGGAAGGTACTCCAGGAAAGAAGCCCTTGGAAGGGGCTCTGCTTGCACACAGAGTTTAGGAGGGTCAGTGGGTGTGGGCTGCTCAGTGATGGGAATGTTGCCTGACCACAGCTGGCGCTCAGTGGCAGATGAGGCCTCGTAAGTACAAACCTGAAACATTCGGGGGCTGCTAAGCAAGACCATCGGGACACGAGGAACATTGTTTTATGTAATCACAGCAGGTGTCTGTACTAGGATTCTCCAGCAATGTGAAGTGTGAGCAAGGAAGAACTGATAATGGTGCAGTTCCAGGTTATAAGGCAGTCTGCTGGAATTTCTCTTAGAAGAGGAGGCTGTTGGTTTTCTGTATTAGGGCCTTTGATCAAATGAAAGTCCCGTATCATATATGGTGGACAACCTACTTAGACTGCCCCTAGGTTCACTGTCAAAAGCATATTCTCAGAAATATCCCCCCAAAACTTGACATACAAAATTAACCATCACGGGGCCAGGCCAGGTGTGATGGGTCAGTGGCTAAATCCTTGACAGGATTGCACAGGAGCACTGTTTGTGTCCCAGCTGCTCTGCTTCCCATCCAGCTCAGCGCTTGTGGCCTGAGAAAGCACTAGAAGATGGCCCAAAGTCTGGGGACCCTGCATCCATGTGGGAGACCCATAAGAGGCTCTAGGCTCCTGGCTTTGGAACGGTCCAGCTCTAGCCATTGCAGCCACTTGGGGAGTGAACCATCAGAAGATCTTTGCGTCCTCTGTAAATCTGCCTTTCCAATAAAAATAAATCTTAAAAAACTCAAATAACCATCGTAGTGTTCAAGCCTTTGTGAGCTAAATGCTTCCAAGAGGATCTACCTTCCAGTACTTAAATGTTGATAATGGCAAAGTGCAGTTGAGAGGGCAGTAATCCTGCCTAGAGGGCCAGGGTGGCCCTTAGCTTGGACCTTGAAATCTATATAAAAGTCAGATGCTAAGCAGGGCAGCAGCACGAAGGGCAGGAGAGAGGATGTGTGGTTTACAGTTAATTGGGCAGGTGGATTGCTTGTGCAAGCATCTAAGTTCTGAGGACCTTAATGTCCTGAAATATAGAAGGAACTCTTAACATTCTAACCAAATATTAAATATATCTGATTCATTCAGTGTCCCGTTGTTTATTTAAACATCTTAACACTTTCCCTTTAAACACTTAACACTTCCTTATTATTTACAAATTATTTACTATCTGTTACATGTATTATATAGCTAGCAAGGCCACAGATGACAAACATAAAAACAGTAGGACACAATCGTTTCCATAGAGTCACAACATCATGCATGTGGCAGGCCTGCAACAAGAATTTGATGAAACGGCCTGGGACAGCGGCCTTGCACTCACTGGTTTTTCATATGGGTGCCAGTTTGTGTCCTGGCTGTCCCACTTCCCTTCCAGCTCCCTGCTTGTGGCCTGGGAGGGCAGTTGAGGGTGGCCCAAAGCCTTGGGACCCTGAACCTTTATGGCAGACCCGGAAGAAGCTCTTGAGATCAGCTTCAGCCATTGCAGCCACTTAGGGAGTGAACCAGCAGATGGAAGATCTCTGTTTCTCCTCTCTCTAAATCTGATTTTCCAATAAAAGTAAAATTTTTAAAAAGATTACTTAATTTTGCTTAAAAGATTGGAAAGACACAGAAACAGAGAGATCTTCCATCTCTTGCGTCACTACTCCCGTAATGCCTTAAAGCCAGAGCTTCTCCAGGTCTCCCACGTGGGTGCACTGGCACAAGGTCTTGGGTTCTTCCTCCGATGGTTTCCCAGGCCATTCCAAGGGAGCTGGGAATGTGGGGCAGGCAGGACTCCAACTGGCACCCGGATGGGGATGCCAGTGCTACAGGTGGAACATCAGCCTAGCCCCAAAGTTCAATCATGATTTAAAGCCAATGATTAAGTAAGCTAACCTAACAGCACTCACGATTCCATTACACAACACATTTGTCTTAATACATTGTATAGTAAGTTTTATTTTCTCAGTAATGTGTTAGGTTTTTCCTGGACATGGGAAGCCTACTGGAAGATTTTTTTTTTAACTATAGCCAACAGGCAAAGCTTATATTCCAGGGGCTCAATGGAGCTCTCGGCTCCTCTCAAATTTACCATCCATGTCACAAAGATGTGAATGAGACAACAAAGACCATCTCTGAGGTCAAACAGGAAGGGAAGGAGTAAGTGTAACAAGGAAAGCTAGTTGGTGGACTGAAGGTCCTGCACACTCCCAGGCCTCATGCCAGCAAACAGCCTTTTGGCCTTCAGCCTTCTTCCACCTGCTGCCGTGGCACTCCTGAGCAACCAGCCTCTGATGCTGTATTACCTTGGTGTGTGATTCTAGCATCCACATAGTAGGAGCTGACATTTCCAAGTCCAATTACCAAATGAAATTGCTGATGGGGCCTGCATTGTGAAAATCTGCAGCCTTCAATGCTGGCTTCTTTTATCAGGACAATGTGGAGTCCCCACTGCTGTGCTTGTCCCATCCATGCTCAGCTGGCGCACCTGGAGAAACAGAGGAAAGCGGTCCCAGTACTTGGCCCCACATCACCCTCAGGACAAAGCCAGATGGAGCTGCCTGCTGGCTCCTGGCTGGGCCTGGCTCAGTTCCTGTGGCACTGGAGAGCCAACCAGGGCAGGCACACCTTTCCCTGTCTCTCCCTATCACTCTGCCTTTCCAGTAAATAATTCTTTCAAAAATATCTTGCTAAGATTATTGTAATGAATGGCTAATGATTATTTTACAGTGCATAAAAGGAAGCTATTACAATATTCCCTCATCACTACCTCACTGAACTCTGTTCCAATAGATACTCTGGCGATGACAAAGACATTTACTAAACTACATGGGAACTCTTCGAGGCCTACAGAAGCCACAGACTTCACCTGCTCTCTGGTACTAGTCGGGCGTCCTGGCCTTCCTCTTGCTTCAGGGAGGGCCCTGGGCACGGCCAGCTTAGCACTCAGACCCTTGCTTATGGTCGCGGAAGCGTTCCTGGCCCCCCAGGATTCCTGTTCCAAACCCCTACTCCCTGGGTCTCTATCAACACCGTCACCTTTCATAGCCTGCTTAATTGACTGAAATTGTCAACTGCCAGTCTTCCCATTGGCAGGCAAACCCTGTTTCTTCACAAGCTGTTCAGGAGGGTGACCTGTGGCACAGCAGGCAAGGCACACGCCTGACACAAAACACAAAGGTACAGCTGCAGCTGCATTAATGAGAATGGGCGGGATGCTACTGCAACATTTTTATTAAAAGATGTATTACCAGAAACGCCCGGTGGGTTTTTTCCTCAGCTTAGTTAGAAATAAAAAGCCTGGAATCTGTTGCAGACAGAAAAGTTTATTTGCCAAGGGACCAGGGGAGCAGCAAAGGGAGGGAAGCAGAAAGCGCCTCAGGAAAGGAGGCCAGGAGGGGGTGCCTCTGGAAAGGGGAGGGAGACACCCAAGGTTTGAGGAAGGGTCTTAGGATTTTAAGCCTTCCTTGACCCCTCCTTGTTGGGCAGAGAACCTACAGGTGAGATGTTCCCCATTGGTGGTCTCTTAATCAATTAGGAAATGGGTGGGCAATGCTGGTGCCGCCCACCTGAAGGTGTGGCCAAGACCTCAGCAGGCCTGGATGGTCTCAGTCCCCCCTCTTGAAATCCCACATCCTACTTCTGTAGGGGTAAGGGGCGACGATGTCTTCTGGCTGCTTCCTGCTGAATTGGGACGACGTTTGGGTAAGGGGCCCCTGAAGGTGTGGGATCCAGAGAGATGGTCCAGGTCATCCAAGTTGCCATGGCAGAAGTTGGTCTGGTTGTCACACAAGTTTGCATGTACAAGGCCACCTTGAGTCTGAAGACCCCTAATCAGGAAACAAACATAAGACAGTTGAGAAGCCAGTTGCATGCTCTATGTAGAGCAGGAGCCAACACAGATGCAAAGAGGGTCCATAGGCTAATTTTCTCCATTCAAAAGCTCAAAGCAGGCAGGCAGGCTGTGGTGTAGCAGGTTCTGGTGCTCAAAGGAATCCCAGTATCTAAGGTGGCAGAGACAGAAATATCTCTGTTCAGCCTCCCATTTCCTGCACCATGCTAGTTCTGGGACTCCTGCCAGTTCAAGTATGTCCTGGTTTTGCACTTGGACACACTCATCAGAATAACACTTGTTGGGAGTGCTGAAATGAGGATACCTATGACTAGCCTGTGGCATCCAGGTGTGCACTGAAGACCACGGAGGAAGGAGACGAAGGTGAGATCAGCACACTTGACTCACACTTGATCAACCTTCCACGCCTTTGGGATATCTCCATCAGAATAGCTTGTGTCCAGGAGTGAAAAATCCGCTCCTGTTCCCTGCACTGTGCTAGACCTAGGCTTTTGTCTGATAACCTTAAGTTGACAAGCCTGCTCAACAATGGGCCTGATTCTATAAGCCTGCAAGATAATGTCTTAGTTAGGGCTGCAACAAGATGTGGGGGAGCATATAGAAAACACTTAGCTGTTAGGTGCTTTTTGAAAAGCAGCTTTAAATCTTCCAGTGTGTCCCAGGTTGGTTCTATAGAATCTGGTTGACAGGGGTGCTGACCTTAGACTATAGAGTCAGTATCTACCCCAGGAGGGAAAATGACCTTGTACATCAGGGGCCAAGACTGAGCCTGCAAGGACCTTTACCAATATCTCATTCCCAATAAAGGGACGGTTGTCAGTGGAATAACAAGGACAGAGTGGTAGAAGTGGAGATATCCCCAAGTACAAGCCCATGGCCAGAGATGTCTCATACAGTTACTTTGAATGGATCTCGGCCCAGGAGAGAAGGATAAGGCAGAAAATCGAGCATCCATGTCCAGCAAGAAAATGATCTTTTGAGAGCTCACCATCAGGGAGATACAAACCCAGGTGGTGGGAGCCTAGATAGGAGTCCCTGGGACCCATCACTGGGGGTCCTGGTTAGCAGACCCCTGCTCTCTCTGGAGCTGGGGGCAGCACGATTTCCAATGATCCCCTTTGCAGATGGGACATGGTCCCGGAGGAGACTCCTGGCCTGTGGTTCGAGGGCACTCCCTCTGAAAATGTCCTGGCTTCCCACAGTTGTAGCAGCACTGCAGGGTCCTTTTCCCTGGGGTGGATGCACTCATAGCGGCCAGCATCTATCTCACTGTGGCGCCTGTCCTTCCACCTTTCCTTCTCTAAATATTGATTATAGTAAACAGCATTGGCTGCCTGGATCAACTGGTCCAAGGAGGACTTATCAGGGTCTGCCATAAGCTTTTGGAGCTTTCTCCTGATATCTGGGGCAGACTGCACAAGGAACTTGTCCTTGAGGATCACTCCACCCTCCGCTGTGTCTGGGTCTAAATTGGTGAACTTCACAACTGTCTCCTTGAGGCATTCTAGAAAGGTCATTTTCCCCCTGATGGACAGTGATGAGTTGGCTATAGTTTAAAGGCTTAACTTTTGCTCTTCT